ATGTAACGTGTAGAGTAGCTGCTCATTGTGCTCGGCGCTCAGGCATTGTTTTGATGCTGGCTGCTTGGCAGCGATATGTCAGGGATTAGGAGAGGAAGGCAGACTGGGATTACTCTTGATAGGAAAAATGGAAACCTGCACACACCCGCTGAGCCTCGGAGACCAGCGGGGGATGTGCTGCAATGTAAACAATAGCGTCTTGTTTTCTTTGGATTCTGCCTATGACACGGATGCTAATTGGAATTTCAGTGATAGCGATGCCTTCGTGCGTGACATGAGCTGTGTACATTCGGTCTGCTAATGTGATCTGCTGCACTGAAATCAGGTTTTTGAGGTTTTGCACGAACAAAAAAGCAAATCTATATCAAGCACACTGGCTTAAGGTGACCTGCTAACATCATACAGCCAAATCGCAAATCAGGTTTACATGCATTGGACTGGAACATATGTCAGCATATGTAAGATTCAAGCTTGTGCTTCGATGTAATGATGGGGGATTCTACTGACTTTATTTTTATTTCAGTACCAAGTTGTGTTGGGAAATATGGGTAAAAATGTACAAACCTCAAAAAAGCTGGCACAATATGTAAAATGCTAATACAATAGAAAGCATTGAGTATTACACTTGGTTTGATTGTATTCAATTGAAAGCAATGTACAATAACATTATTTATTTATTTATTTTTGTAAATATACACTTTTTCAAATTCTGAAAATTTGGGACAGGAGCATGTTTACCAAAGTGTTACATCACCTTTGCTTTCAACAACACTTAATAATCATTTGGGGACTAAAAACACCAATGGGTCCAGTTATGAAAGAGTATTTTTGCCATTCTTTCATTATACAAGTCTGCAGCTAAGCAATTGTATGGAGCTCTCACTGTCGTAATTTTTATTTTATAATGTGCGATACATCTTCAGTGTTAGGCAGGACTGTATGGAGGCCAGTCTAGCACCCACACTCTTATTACAGAGCCATGCTGTTGTAACGTGCAGAATGTGGCTTGACATCATGTTGAAAGAAGCACAGACATCCCTGAAAAAGACGTCAATTAGATGGCAGCATGTGTTGCTCCAGAATGTGTATATATATTTCAGCATTAATGATACATTCACAGTAACCCACTAATACACTCCCAAATTATGACAGATGCTCACTTTTGAACTTTACACTGGTAACAATCTGCATGATCCTTTTCTTCTTTAGTCTGAAGAACACAATGTACATTTTTTCCATAAACAATCAGAAAGGTTAATTCATCAGACCACAATATATGTTTCCACTGCACACGAGTCCTTGTCAGATGTCAGATGGGCTCGAGCCCAGAAATCACCCTTGTTTATGGACATTGTAGGCAGATGGCATTCTCTGTGCGTAGTACAGTCATTTCTGGACACAGCAACGAATGGTGTTTAAAGGTTTGTCGAAGTGTTCGTGAGCCCATATGATGATATTAATCACAGAAGCATGCCAGTTTTAATGCAGTACCATCTGAGGAATCGAATGTCATGGGCATTCAGTTGGGGCTTTTGGCCTTGCCCTTGCAAGATTTCTTCCCGATTTCCTGTTTTGATGATATGCACCACAGAGGTAGAAACACCTAACTTTCTTGCCATCGCTTACTGAGGAACATCATTCTTAAACTCGCTGACACAGGTGTCTGTTAGCTGACATAACAGAACTGGCAGTTGATGCTTTCCTGCAATCGGCTGTCTAATGGTGTTGCATGAGCAGTTCGAAAAGATGCGGAAGCTAGCACAGGTTTTGGAGGGGCCTGTGCTAGCCTTCACCCTCTTAGTGCTAGTGGTATTGTGTGATTGGGGGAGTCCTAACTAGTGGGTGGAATTAGGTACAACTAAATTGGGGAGAAAATTTGGGGGAAAAAAAAAGAAAGATATTTTTTGAACATTTCACAACCTTTCACAATGAGTTGAAAGCATCCTGACTTTTATGGAACATGTTGCAGGCATCAATTTCAAAATGAGCGAGTATTTCCAAAAACAATGAACTTGATAAGGTACAACAACAAATATCTTGTCTTTGTACTGTTTTCATTTAAATGCAGGTCAAAGTGCAATTACAGATCACTCCTTTTAGAATTAAAGTTTTATATCTCTATCTTTGGCAATAAACAGTATACATTTCAATATTCTTGCTTTCTTTCTGAAATAGCTTAAAGAATTGATTTTTCAATGAGATTTTGGAAACAAGTTGCTTCTATAATGCCATGTGCAATAAGAACTAGAATATGATTAAAAAATCTATTTAGAAATAATCACTGCAAAAACTGAACACTCTTTGAGGTACTGAAAGAGTACTTTTAGATACTAAATCTTTGCCATCCTCATCTATCTTTCAGTATATTTCTTGTACATGTGTTTACAGTATTGCCATATCCGTGATGTATAGAAGTATAGAAGAAACAGAACTGTGGTTTTGAACATATCAGAGAAGCTATGAGGCCCATGACGTAACAGCTGCAGTATTTAACCGAAACCCGCTGATAGCAGAGCCCGCCCAGAGATTCGTCATTCATCCAGGGCTGAATAGTGAATAGTGCTCATCTGAAAAGACCTAGAATTCCACAGTGCCAGAATACCTTCCTAATTACTCGGGTCTGTGTGGTATAGAAAAGAGGATATGACCGTGCTTGGCCCCCAAAATGAATTTGAACAATGAAGACTGAAGTCTCCTAAAGTAATCTCACAGTGGAGAGAAAGGGATCATTCAGCTCCTTTCTGATGCAGAACAGCTTGGCTGTCCCAGGTGTAAATCTCTATGAGCCGCGTGTGTATATATGTGTGTGTGTGTCTGTGTGCTAGTTGTTAGTTTTCATACATTTTCAAGACTGAAATGTCCTGGCTATGTATGAAAATCAGAGAAAGTTCTGACTTTTAGAGATGCTCCATGTTTAATTTTTAAGGCTGTAAGGGAAAATCTTTTCTTTTTGGTTACAGAGGTTAAGATTAGGGCTTTAAGTTTAGGTTAGGCTTAGAAGCTGATTTATATAGATACTTACATATACAAATGGGGCACACTATACATAATCCTATACATAATACATATGGGACATCTATTATATACAATACATGCACATACATAGTACATATGGGATATATTACATATAGGTCCCCACATATATATTTCATATGGGACATGTCATTATTACATATTGGTATTACTTTGCAAAAGTCAAAAACCACCCTTTCCTATCACAAATACGTCTGAGATTAGAAATAAGATTAAGAATGGGGAAAGTCAAAGGAAACTACAAAAAAAAATCAAAAGCTAGAGAGAAAATGTGACCTACGACAGTGCAAGACCTGGCAAAACACTGAAACTGTCTCCATCAGAGAAACAGCACTTCAAGCTTTCATTTTTGAGAGAGGAGAAAATCAAGCTCCACTCTTCCTTCAGATCCAAAACAATCCACAGGTGTTTCTGTCCATCCGTCCACTGTGAGAAGACAACTCAAAACTAAGGGTCTGAAAGGATGTCTAGCTGTCAAGAAGCCCTCACTGAGAAAAGGACAAACAAGAAGAAATTTTGCCAGTCAAACAAAGAAGCTGCTGGTGTTCTCAGAACAATGGACCGACTACCCCAGAGTCCAGACCTTTATATCACTGAATGTGTTTGGGATTACTCAGATTAGAGAAGCAGAAAATGCAGCCAACTTCTAAGACTGAACTTTGGAGGTGTGGAAAAATATCCCTACAGATTTCTTTGAAAATGGAAAGCAAGTCTCTTGAAAAGAGTGAAAGCTGTAATAAAGGCAAAGAGGGTAATATTTAAAAATATATTTATTTAGTTATTGAGGCTGGTGTGTAATTTTCTGCTAAACATATGTTTTATGCTTTTTTTTACCTGATCCTAAAAATGGTCTGTGGCTTTTGCACAGTAATGTATGTAATCAGGCCCGGATCATTAAATTATCAGCCCAAATCAGGCACAAATATTTTGTGGACCCCTACCTGGCTACCCTTTTTAGGGTAAATTTTTTATGATCATAGCTGATTATATGAGGGCGATGCACCACCATGGTGGCAGCATACTGACTGCAGTGTTGGGCACGTCGCTCAAGACAAAACAATAGCAATTTGCAGACACATCAATGAGAGAACACAGACTAATGCAAATTCAATCCACTCTTCACAAGCACAAAATTCAACCCAGTAAAGACGACATAAATAAAGATTGCACAGCTGAAATAGCTGTACAGGCAGCTGTACTGTCTGTACAGAATAAAGACGAAACAATGGCAAACTTGAAAACCCTGTAAAGCATTCTAGCTAAAGCATACTGCCAAAGCTGCTGTGGATTTCTTACCTCTGATGACATTTTGCAGATCACTGCTGATAAACAGTACTATTTTTCTTAACTTGGTCAGATGATATTTTATTTTTTGGCTTTGGGAATGGGCATCCTCTACTCTATGGAAGTGTCAGGTCTCACTTATGCAGATCCTGCAAGCACATCTGAAGTTGCAGATTTAAAGTACTTTCAAAGGAACGTTAGCTCACTGCGAAAAAACTGAAAGCTTGACAGAGGTAATGGCGGATAGTGTAACGGTTGCTGAGCAGTGATTGGAGGAGAAAATAAAGCGGATGTTTAGGAAAAACATGGAGAGCATCAGGATTATGATCAACTGTATTACAATGACAAATTAGTTAATTTTATTCCACGGTGTTGCTAGTAACGTTCCCTCTGCGAGTCAAAACAGCTGTTTGGATTTTCTCATAATTGCCTGCAGCGGCCCATGGGCCCATTAGATGATCTAGGCCTGTATATAATACATATGGGATATACTGTATTTATGTAACTACATTGGTTATATAGAAATGAAAAATGACAAAAATGGGGATACAAAGTTTTGTTCCCACAAAATGATATATATGATTTATATGGGATAATTTAACCTATGTCCTGACAAGGTATAAAAACAAACGCTAGTGTGTGTGTGTGTGTGTTCTAAGGATGCCTTGTTTTCTCTGTTTCAGGGAGATGAGCTTGGTGAAGCTGGGCAGGAGAGCCGTGGCCAGACAGAGATCCGGAAACTTCTCAGCCAAAAGTTCCTCAAGTTGCCATGGAAACCGGAGGTAAAGCCTCTTTTAGTTGCCCGCTTTGGTTAACACAGTGTAATGCATCCCCTCCAGTGGCTGTGTGCGGATGTAGCCTACACAGTGTTAGGAGTGCTGGGAGGTTTTGTTTTGCTCTCTCCGCTCAGTGCTCTCTGTCTCTGTCTCTAACCCCACTTATCTCTCTCACTCTTTCTCTCTCTTTTTCTCGCTCTCTCTCTTTACCCCCTACCTCGCTCGGTTTGTGATTTCCCTGGGGAGACATCCGTCTGTAGCTTTCCCATCCCTTCAGGAATCATGCTAAAATTACATGAACAGGTGGCCGGAAGGACGGCAGAACAACAAGCGTTTCGCAAGATGATGCACCATTCGCTCTCCATCGCTGCACAATTACGCTCCAAATATAGACGCATTAGTCACCTGCGAACACCTGAACCTTCAGCATTCAAACTCACAGCATCCTGGATTGCTGACAGTCTGTTTTTTCTATTTCTGTAAAACTGCCATTATAGCGTTTTTATTTATTTATTTATTTAGTTAGTTATTTATTTAGTTAAATCCCTCGGATAAATCTAATTTGAATGCCTTATTGACCAATTTGAAAGAGTTCCTCCCTGGTTCAACTAGAAAATACTCAAGTTAATCATGCTGAGTCAGAGCCAAAGTAGCAGTTTGGGTGCCAAGTGCTCATCACCCAATAATGAAGAGCACCGTGTTCTGCCATTGGCTGCCTCATTACTTCCCCTACTAATTAGCAGCATCTCAGCATCCTGCCAGTTTTAACTGTCTGATTATCAAGCACAATAATGACTTCCAAACAAACATTTGCAGTGAAGAAATGTGAATGGTAGCGAACAACAAAGGAAGAGTTTATGGCTGTAAATATCTGTAAGCCATTCAGATGCCTAATATGCAGGGGTGAGAGCACAGGCATAACACAAGCACCTCCTTATTCAAAAAACAAAGTAAAGAGGCAACTATTTTGTGAAGTATAGAATCTTAAGTAAAACAAGGAAACTGAGAAGAAAGCAAAAGGAAACATGACTCATTAAAAATGGCTCAGATTTACACCTTAGAACTGCAACTTCCACCGATTTTTCACAAATTTGTGTAATTTGGTTGTTGGGATATAAAGAAAGTTATTCTGAGTGGTTTGTCACTTTATTTATTAACCAAAAGAACCAGTGAGCTTACATATTGAGTTTTTATATATAATATTAATTCTGGTAAAATAGGGAATGTTGTCTTTGGTGTTAGTTTACCTTAGAATGACTACATTTTAGACCAGAATCTTTCCTAAACTACTGTACAATAATGAGTGTGTTTACATGCACTCAATAATCTAATCATAATCAGATTTCTGCAGTTATCTGATTATTCAAAAAGTCATATAAACAGCATACTCTGATTTCTAAGATCGCAATAAGGTCTAGAAATCTGATTAAGAAATCTGATAAAGAGAGCTGGATTTCAGTGCAGTAATCAGATTTCTTAGTGCATGTAAACTCTTACTCTGATTTCTTTTGAATTTTTCAGTTTGCGCATGTGCAAAAACACTTTTGGAGCAATGCTGAAATCAGCTACATGCTAGATGAAAAGAAGGATTTAAATATTCATCATCTTTTAGATGATGTATGTTCATATTGCCAAGTAAAGTGGCGTGATGTAAGAAAAAAAGGCGCGGCATGAAGTTTAAGTTTTACATTATGTTTACGTCATGTCTTCTGTGTGTTTATTGGCTGGTTGCAAAGCAGAAATGTAATTACTGACTCTGAGTTTTCCCTTTATCTGATTAATCAAGTGCATGTAAATGCGTTGATTGGATTACTGACAAAATCAGATTTTCTGCAATTATCAGACTATTAAGTGCATGTAAATGCGTTGATTGGATTACTGACAAAATCAGATTTTCTGCAATTATCAGACTATTAAGTGCATGTAAACACACTGAATGTCTTGGGCATCAGGCAGCATTTTCATAACAATTTCATAATAACTTTCCATAAGGGAACTTTTAGACACATTTACACTTAGACACTCTTCAGATGTCTGGTATAGATTATTTATTATAGACTAAAGATTTTGCCAATTACTGTGTCTGTATATTTATATATTATAATGTAGTTAAAAAGTAGAGAGGTGGTTCTTTATAACGACTGATGGTGTGAGCAGCCATAATGATATGAACTCATATGCTCAATGAAAACTTTCTGAGTAGGAATTCCCAGTTAAAGGGGGTTTACTTTGTTTTTTCCTAGTCAGAAGTCAGAAATTTAGATGCTAACGCTAATGATGGGGTCGAGCTTTAAACAGTGCACAGTTTCAGACTATGAAAATAGCAGGGAGGAGCCCAGGAAGAGTCAGGCCAGAAGAGGTGAAGCTAGGACAAGAAGACTTTGACTGGGAATCAAAATTCAGTACTTTATATAGATTTACAGCATACAGTATACAAATACAAATTTCAATACCTAAGTAGTCAATACATACAGAAGGTAATAAACATTCGTTTTATAAAAAAATACATTGATTTTCTTAAAGATAAATATTTAATGTATTATAATATTATAAAATGTATTTTTGTTTAAGTATCATTTTCATTTTAAATCAAGATATAACTTCAGGTTAACCCTTATGTGGTGTTCATGTTTTTTGTTACTCAGTGGTCTGGTAGACTTTTTTAAATCAATACAGCCATAACAATTTATCTAAAAATACCAGATGTTTAAATTATCACAAGTGGCCAGCGTAGGGGTCTCTTTTAGCAGCTGTAGCCAGTCAGCAGCCTGTCCATGTTGTCCACCCTCACACACACACACACATATACAAACATACACACACACACACACACACACACACACACACACTAACAGCAGGCCATGTAGGAGGAGAACAGAGTGAAGGACACAGCACCTCCACACTTTTATTCCCTGTGGGTTCACTCAATGTGTAATATAAATGTGTGGGGGGGTGAACAGTGTGAAGTCACTGAAAATGTGTTAATTTATATGTTCTTCGAAGAAAATGAGCAAAGGCCAAGGAATCTGGGGTTGAAATAATAATAAATCACATAATTTTTTCTTTTGGTAAACATTGAAGATGGGTCCCACAGACCCGAACACTACATACGGGTTTACGGGTCAAAGAAGCAAAGGAAACGGCCTTGAAGTCAAGCTATGTTCAACTGGGTGAAAGAAGCCGTCCACAAGTCAGACTTGGGTCAGATTTTTTGCAAATGTAACATTCAAAGTACAAACATGATAATTTGAGATGGTAGGAATTGACAAATGCAGGCATAAGATTCCCAGCAAGTAAAATGCTTGTCTTTTGCATAATAGAGTTCCTCATAAGACAAAATGTTCAGTTCATCTGATCGTTAGTAGCGCTGCAGGGATCTATTCAAATCTAATGTGTGGCCAACTTATAAAACATGGATTTTTTAAGAACCAAATTACACATAAAGACTGAAAAATGTTTTTAATGAGCATCTCTTCCTTTAAATATTGGGATATTTAAAAAAGACCCGTCCCATTTTGAAAAATGAACATCGTCCAACTCTAATATCCACACCGGCCAGGCTAACAGCGAGGCATTGCATCTTCATAGAACTTTCTGTCAGAGCCTGAAGAACTTTCAGAGCAAAGGGACGTGTTTTTTTTCTACTTTACCGCCTCCCTGCTGAATGATAGAAGAGCAGTGCACTTGACTCTGCTAGCCGCGGTGTTGACTAATAGCTGGTGTCTCATTCTGGCACTGTGGGCAGCCCTCATCTCCTCTTTCCCCAGGAGACATGACATGAGCAAGGGAAATGAAGAGCCACAGATCAAACGGGGTTTGTGACCCGGTATCCCCCCGCCCCCCTAACCCCACTCCTACCTCCTGGTCCCTGAGGACCCTCATCTGGAGTCTACAATAGATGAGCTGCCAGGTCCCTGCTAAAGCTCGGCAATGGGCACATGCTTCAGGAGGCTATTACATCAAGGGAAAGCTCTGGAGAGCAGCGGATGGGTGATTGCAGTGTTTCCAAGATAGAGATTCTGGAAACAGGTGTTATGCAGCTGTTCTGATGCTATATAGCAGGGCCATATAGATTAGCCGACAAGGTGCAATAGATGTCGACACCTTAAATAAAAGTACTCTTTGTATAATGCTCTGTAAAATATGGCACATATGGTAATTTAGATAGGTTGCAGTACCCTTCAGGAAGCACTGGGGGCAGTGTGGCTTCTATTGTGGTCTATTTAAATAGGTGCAGGTCAAGGTGACCTCAGAACACCCATGCAAAACTTCCATGTACTTCTTTGCGTGCTGTTTACTCAAAGCAATGTTGGCTTGAAATGAGAAATGGACATTGAGAAAGAAAGAAAATGAGACACGGTGAACAGAACACATGCAGTACGTCCAATCAGTCTCATGATTTTTGACAAGTAGGTTTGCTAGCATAATGCTAAAGCCTTAAGTCAACATTATAAGACTTGATAGCCTACTACCTGCGAATTACAGTGCATTTACTTTGGTCTGGCATGGTAATGGATGTGCCCCCCACTCCCACCTTCAGCTGGCTCTATAGGGGGGTTACAAAGTCATTCCCTGTGTAATCCAATTAAAGCTAAATGTTGCTAAGTCAATACTTATGTAATTGTTTTTTTTAGATGATCAACAACAAATAAGCCATATTACTGTCACAGCTCACTAACTGGTGAAGTACAGGCACTGTATCCCAGTCTTAGATGCCCACAGAGGTATGTGGACTGGTCAATATGTTTTTCACGCTTAGCTGGCCACAACTATCAGGATTTTGGGAGCTTCATTCTGATTGGCTATTCGCATTTCCATGCGTACAGCCCAGAGTACACCGATAGGAAAAACATAAACAAACACAAACCTTTGGTTGGTCTGCCACACTCATGTTTGATTGTTGAAAGTCTCTAGAATGTTCTCAACAACTTCAGACATTATAGTGACTGTGTTTGTTCACTCTGGTGTGCTCTGGCCTTTATTAGACTTCCGTGCACTGGTTTTGA